CACTATAAGTACCATTTTAAAAAAAAATATGGAGCAACCTACGTAATGCTTATTTTGACTTGAAGTGATTTGAAAATAAAAAAAACTGTTTAAAGAGAAGAATAGTGAATGATGGAAATTGGTTTTGTACTTGGAAATGTACTTCTTATCATGAATTAATTTATTCTACACTTGGATTTCTTTTTACAAAATAATCTCTATGTCTCTTTATTTTTCACATGAGAAATGACTTAATCGAGCAAAAAATATATATATATTTAATATATTTAATCTAGCGAAAAAGAAACGTTTTTTTTTGGAAATTTGAATGAAAAAAGGAAAAATAATAAAAAGATTAGAAAAATAATTATTAAGAATAATTGGAAAACAGAAAAGCCCAAACTAAAATTTCTTCATGCTTAAAAAATATAGTACATCGTTTGAATTGTGGGTTTTATTCTTCGGTTTTCGTTTTTTTTCTGTTAAAAGAAGATAAGGTATTTGGTGTATGTATGAATTTTGTTGTTGTTGTTGAACCGTCATGTGTCAGCTCAGAATGAAATTGGTAAAAGGCGGTATTACAAAATAATACAAAAATAAAATCGCAAAACAAAACACTTTCTCTCTTTCTTTCGGTCTCTCTAACATTTATGATTCGCCTTTCAGTCGCTTCGTAAATTCTTCTTGTTGCTTTTCCTTCCATTCGTTTTTGGGTTTGTTTCGTTTGAGGTTACCGTCCCAACTGAGATCGACTAGGCCACCCTGTTCGGCAATCACACTTTTTACTCGATTCGCAAATACAATGGCCGATTCATTTTCCTGTTGATACATCGGCGGTAAATACCATACATCGCATACGATTGCCCACGATGTCATCATTAAAAACAAATACTGCATCATTGAATATTTTGAACTATTCCAAAATGGATCGCCAAATCGTGGATCATACCTAAAAAAACAACAACAACAAAATTAAGTAAAATGAAAATCCAAAATGGTCCAGCGATATTTCTGTATGTGTTAAAACCAAATTCGTTGTGGTGCAGCCACAAGTGCATTATCCGCCTTTATACATGCTACACATATGCTGACGATTCGATAACTATATGAAAATGTTTTTTTTAAAAATACGTTAGCTCTCCTTTGGTGACAAGAGAGAAATGTTGTCCAATCGCAAGCATATATGTATTCCAGCATAATGACGAGAAAATGAAAAAAAAAACACGAGCAATGCCATCGCCTTACTTGATAGCAACCGGATAAATTACACCACCGACTTCAAAACTGCCCTTTTTAAATTGCATCACTGATGTATTGTTGATACATGTACCTTCCGGAAATATTAAAATCGGTGGGTTGTTCGGATCCGAAACGTGTTGACGCAATCTTTGTGCAACGGCCATTCGGTCTTTCGATTCAGCACGTTCAAACCAAATGTGCGGTGATGCACGTGCCAATGCACGTTGCAACAGGCCCAAGAACCCACCATGCCGTTGACCAATCTACATTGGCATTCGGGATTTTTATAAAACAAAACAAAAACACAAAGAAAAAAGAGACAAAAAATAAGAGACAAAAAAAAACGATTAGTAATTAAACTTAAAATAAACTTATAACTATGGACGGCACAATTAACCAGAAAGTGAGATTGATTGAAATGTTTGGGGGATGTGAATATAATTTTTTTTTCTTTTTTTTCCTGACTGAATCTGAGATATAAAGCCATGCTTTATGAAAACTATAACTAATACCGTTTTTTGTAAATAAAAACCAAAAAAAAAATCAAATTAAACTAATTTTGAACCAAAACATACCGGATGAAACGAAAACACATCTCACATTCATTTTACTTACCAATGAATAGCAATTGTCGCACATTAAAACGAGCACATCGATTGGACTTGTGTGATTTGCCACGCAAATGCCAGTTTTACCTGGTCTATTTTGAATATCATGATAATTGATGACAGCCGACAAAGCACTGGACAGAAACACAAAGCAATGTATCAACACGTTATGGACCATTTTTCGTTTGGTGACACCCTCTGGTAAAAATCCCACAGCTGCTGTGCATATTGTTAACCAAAGAACCTGCCCATGACACACCAATGTACAATGTACAAGCAAATACATATAGAGATATTTATGCAGAGAGATAATGTGTTCGATATGAAGTTTTGCTGTTTGTTTTTATTTACTTGAACAACAACGAGAAAAAAAATGAATTGAAATGAGAACGAAAGTTTGTATCGAAATGTGTATGCAATTTTTCCGCCATGCCGTACCCAGTACATAAACACACATGAAAAAAGAAAATGTTTTGAAATGTAAAAGCCGCACAGAGAGGAATCTATTACGTTTTATTACTACATTTTTGAAAAACGTCAAAACACAACTACTATTGTGCTTTTTCCCACTCATTTTTTAAATTCAATTGTCAATGTTTATGCTGCGTACATGTATAGAAGGATCTTTTATACAGTGAGAAAAAACATGACAGTGGTTGTGTTTTGACGTTTTTCAAAAATGTTGTAGTAAATCTTAATGTTTTTCTCTCTGTGCGAAATTTAATCTTTTTTGTCCCCCAATCAACGAAATAGAATGTGTAAATGTTGAAGCTTTTTTGGTTGTTTGATTTTCTTCTCACCAAGGAAAAGGTGCAATCGGCACCTAAAATTGCAACATCCATCGGTGATGTGTGGTTTGCCACACAGAATCCTTTGTTACGCGGACGATATTGCGGATTGTGGAAAGTGACAACGGCTGACAACGGTCGACACATCAAACGAAATGCCACTTTAAACATTTTATCGTTTACGAACATTCGAAGTCTTGGATTCGGTATAGTTCCAATCAATTTAAACACTATTATTGCCACATTTACCTATACAAATTTAGTTTTAATTCTCATTCAATTCAATTTTGATTTAAGAAAAAAGTTGACGCGATTGTCTTCTTTTTTTGTTTCACTCTTACGCTGCAATATATGCATTTTTTTTCCAATTCTCCATGGTTCAACTTACCCCAACGAAGCAGATGATCACTCGAAATGGCATTAAAATGAAATAACGTATAAAAAATCCAATAAACCAAATGGTACTAAGGCGCCACGATATGAATTCATGATATCGATTGGTTCGAGTCAATAAATTCCAATTCTTTAGCTCTTCAGCTTCAAATCGAGAGGTCACCTCATCTTCGATTATCGCCTCAACGCCATTTCTGATGTAATCCAGACATGTGGCTAGGTGGAAATCCACGGGATGATCAGTCTGAACAAAGACGGAAAATGATTAGTGGTAACAAAGATAAAATCGAATTAATTCACTCACTTCTGTGTCACTATTTTCATTATCACTGCCTTTGGGTGTTCGAATAAAAGTAAATCCATCGGTGCTTTGTACACCGTCTGGCACTAAAATCATCGCATCATCGCGACTTATCACCATGTTACCTAAGGGGAGAATCACAAAAGAAAACAATAAAATTTAAAATAATCGATAAGTAATCGGAAAATAATCGAAAATAATCAATAATAATTAATAAGTAATTTTTAAAGTGATTTGCCCCTTAATGTTACCATTTGAATTGTGTTTCTTATGTTTTCGTTTGACTGGCTTCTCTGATGGCAAAAAGGGTCTCTTAAATTCTCCATCACACTGTTCATTTGTATTTGGTTCGGATGATTGATCTTTTGTGCTATCAACTACATCTGACTGATCATCTTGTGCGCCACTTGTATTTCGTTCATCTTCTGATTCCAGTCGATTTAATTGTGGTGGATTTGTTTGCTTTCGCTTTTGCTCGATTTTTTGACGTCCATACTGAAATTTAAACGAAAAACAAATCGATTTTTGTAGAAAAAGAAAATAGTAATTCCCCTAACTGTGTATGTGTATGAAAAACAAAATAAAGCAACAAAACCAATTTCAGGTTTACTAATTACAGTTTTCCATATGCAAATAGTTAAAATGCACGTAACAAGTGAAATTGTCACTTTCATTGAATCCATTTTCGCTTGACATTCATGTGCGCATTTTGCTTGCTTTTAGTTTCAATAAATTTAAATACATGGAATGCCTTATCGCATGCGTTTTTTTAAAAAAATTGAGTGGTTTCCCTTGGAAATGGCAAATCAGTATTCTTTTGTTTCTCTCTCTCTCTCTCTTATCAGTACTTAATTCGATTAAGCTATGTTATTTAACATTTCTATCACATGAATCGATTACATGTATTTGGCTATCAAATTCAGTTAATAAATTGATAAAAAATAAAAACCATTTACTATTTAAAGTTCCACCTAAAATCGTTAGTCCTTGAAATTTTACGATCTTGAATTTAAATCGATTACGAATCAAGTTTTTGAGTTGATCATTTAAAAATAAATGATATACAATTTAACATACTATTACTAAGATTATAGGTACACTTGCAAAGCAATTCAATTGTCTATTTTGCATAGGAAAATTTGTTCATTCATCGAAAAAAAAAATAAGAAAGATGCCGCCGCACATTTTGAAAACAAAAATCAAGTGTTACTTGTTAAAACAAATATAAAGATTCAACGATATAGTGACATGTCACATTTCGATGTTTTTCTTTTTTAAATTCCAATGACAAAAGACAAAAAATAAAATTGTCAATTCACTTTGATGATAGAGAAAAACTTTAAGGCATTTATTATGAAAATGACTTGGTAATAATGGCTTATCATTTGAATAGATAAAATAAATGCCATTGATGCGGTTTGACTTCAAAAAAAGAACAAACAAGACCGATCCAAAATTGGTTCTATTTCATGGAATGTTCAGTCGTTTCTAAATTGATGTGTGGATACGATCAACACACAACGAAAAATAAACACACAAATGATGAAGTAACAATTCGCTTGACAAATTAAAAAACATTCAAAAAGCGCGTACAAAACATGTCAAAAAACACAACAACAACAAAGTAATATTCGGGTCGTTGATTAAATAGTGTGAAACAACTTTATGGGCAAAGTCAAAGTCAAGACCTTTTTCTTAATTATTGATGATCTCATTCACTCTTGTCAATGAACATTGATTTTGCTCATAAATGCACGCATTTTGTGTATTGAAGTTTTCAGTGTTTTTTTTTCCTGTAAAAAATTGAGCCGTTCTTTTGATTTGAATGCGAAATATATACATACCTCGAATATTTTAAGTAAAACATTAATATAAGCTCGACGAACGCCCAACGATATACCGATTGATGCAAAAAATACGATGCTTAATAGTCCAATCAGTACCGGAACATTAAACACAGCTGATAGAATTGCAAAGAATACCATCATCCAATGCTGCCTACTCCACTTCGGCAGCGAATAATGACATATACAAAAAAACCAAGAAGAAATCTTTTTTTGTATTTATTGTTGACGTAATTACGTCGTGATTGCCACTGTCTCTCCCTCCTTACTCGTTCTTTGTTGTATGTAGCGCTAAATTGGTGATATCTTTACATTAGATCGAATCGTGGCCAATATGTTGATTACAATCGAAATCAATTTCCAAGATAAAAGAGAAAAAGAAAAACATTTTTTTTATGATGACATTTAACAAGATTTTTGTACTTCGGAAGAAATTACATAAAACAGATGATAGTCAAAACTAGTTTACTATAAGCGCAAAATGTTTCCTTTTTTCTTACGATTCATCATCGTTCTCAACATTTTTTTTGCATCCGATTGCAAAACTTTTGCTGTATGCAAACACGAACACTGACCTATATCTATACGTGTGTGTGTGTATAATAGAAATTTGTTGATTGACGAAACAACCGCTCCGCAGTTAACTATGCGGATGTAAATCTCGTGATTTATTATCGAAATAAAATTGAATTCAAATGATTTTCACATTGTTGCAGCGGTGTGCTCATATTGGAATGCATATGAATATTCGTTAATACACGCGGATCAAACTCATCATATTTACATATGAAAAGTGAAATCGCATTTTTCATTTTCGGTTTGTTTAGTCCAATCGTTTTTTTTTTTTTTTTTCGTTTCTTCTTCTTTATTGGTATGTTGTTTCTAAGACGAATTTGAGGCGAAATTTGTATTATATGTCCATGTATGTACAATTGAGACGACTGAAGTTGTCAACCGTGAAACAATATGACCTTAGATCTAATGTTGATATTTCGTTCGATTAAATTACTTGCTTTATCTAAGTACTCACATTTTTCTGTTCAGATATGTGTTTTTTTTGTTGTTGGTATTTTCGGTTTTCTTTTCCGAGTGTGTATTTTCGACGTTTTATTATATTTCTTTTGTAATATTGTTGTTTTTTTACTTATTTGTTGTTGTAGCACAAAATATTGAGTATGTGTAGCTGCTTTTTCTTTGGATTTTTCGAATTAATTTCACGCACACATAATCTGTACAATTAGATTTGAGTCGGCAATTGTAATAAATTCACCAAATCATCACTCATTTCATTTAACTCATAGAACATGTTTGCTCTTTTTCATTTGACTTCAAAATAAATGCACATGTAAATCAATAATTTGATGTGGTTCTCCATCTACATCGAACAGAATACCCATGTAGAATTTGTTGTTGTTGCTCTTCCGATTTTTCTCTTCTTTTTTTTGTGATTGTTTTTCCTTCACTTTCTGTACATATATATTTATTTTGTATATATAGAAATAGCAACAGTGTATAATATCGTTTGATGTTGGCTGAGGTTGTTTGATTGGTGAAAGATTTCGTTACTGACTTCGTTGAAAGTGCGTTTAATATTACTCACTTTACCGATACATACAGCAAACACACACATTTCATCAGCATACGTAATTTGAACGATTCGCAAACAATCAACAAATTGAAATCAAAATTGTTCGAGCGAGATAGAGTAATAGCGAATAAAAAATCTTTTAGCTGAAATGATTCTCCTTCAAAACTGATCTCGCGAAACCGTTTACTACGCGTTACCAACGTCAGAAAGAGAACGCACGCTATTTAGCGCCAACGTCTCTATTGTCCAAGTATTTGTGTAAATGTTTGCATGTGTTGGTTTCGTACACGGCAACTGTCATTGAGTGATAGCTCATTTATACGAACAATGAAATTAATTCTTATTGTTTACAATGAAGTTTCTTTTGAGAAAAATTGCACCATTTCATCACATTCTATTCACAATCAATGTTTCTATTTAAGAAAAATATTAAATGAATAAAAATGCGTCTTAACTTCGTTTCGTGTAAATCACGCGGGAGTTGTTCATACAAAAAAAAATACCATGCACAACAGCAGATGATTGTGAACGAAAATGTATGGCAATGTGTGACAGCGGCTGTCACATATCACACACGAATAAACACATTTCAATCAAATACACGTGCAACACTCATTTTAAATTAATTTCATGGATCGTACTGTGAAATTGTTGATGAATTAAAAGAAACGAATGTTTAATCGAATCCATATAGAAGTGAAATTCACATCAAAAGGAAAGAAAAATGTCTGACAACGAAGTGGATCAATATGAAAGTGATGGTGGCGAAGAATATAATCCAAAAGCGCACAAGAAATTGTTGGCCGGTGTTACATCGCTGCAAAAATGTCAATTTATTCGAAAAACAACAAGAGATGAACCAGCATTGAACAGAAATGAATTTGGCCTAGTGAAACCGACCACAGACAGTGATGCACCTGCCGCGAAAAAAGGCAAAGTTGATATAAATGATTTAGTAAATATATTGGACAAAACCAATAAACATTTGCAATTGGGAAAAGTTCTCAAGAAGACGGCTGATAAGAAAAAAGTGCTTCCAGTTCCGTTAGAAAAGCCAGCCGCTGAAAAACTTCAACGTGCCATCAACTATGAAAAAGCAAGGGAAAAACTTGAGAAATGGGATGCGGTGGTGGCAAAACAACGATCGGCCGATCATTTGGTAAATGTTTGGTTTTTAAATGAAGAATTTACTTTTTCTTGTATTTTTTTATTCAAATTCCATTCTTGCGTTTTTCAGTCCTTCCCATTGCATCAAGAAGCATCCGATCTTAAATTCAAAGATGAAGTACAAGTACCATCGAAATTTCGCATTAAATCCGAAATGATGTTGGAGATGGAGAAAAATGAACCGCAAATTTTCCATGTTGCCAAACCGGAAGAAGAGCAAGAGGATGAGCCAAAATTATCGCGCGAAGAATTAATTGAACGGTCACGTGAATTGCGTCAACTACGGATGAAAGAATCACAGCGGAGTATAAAGGCCCATCATCAGAATAAAATCAAGAGTAAACAATTATTTAATTATTTTCATTATCGTTATTCACGCGCGTACATTAATTGTAATGTGTATTATGATATTTCTCAATGATGATGATGGAAACAGAGTAAATATGAGAGAAAGAGTGTTTGCCTGGATGAGTGAGTTAGTGATGATTGAGAACCATTAGAATGTAAAAAGAAATTGCTGAAAAAAATGAGATTTGGTAGTAGAACAACACAAGAAATCACCATTGTTCACACAATAGCATTGCATCGGAGCAACGTCGCATTGATCAACTAGCTCAACTACCAAATCTCAAATGCAAGCAATTTTGTTGCAAATGTGTGGCCATTGCTTTCTTAAACTATCTATAAATTCCATTATTTCGATTATTTGTATTGATTATTTCATTTCATTTGTGATTCTCCCGCCACCCCAGGTAAAAAATATCATCGAATTTTGAAAAAGGAGAAAATGAGGCAACAAATCAAAGAGTTTGAATTGCTGCAAAAGACCGATCCAGAGGCGGCACTTCGTAAAATTGAACAGCTTGATCGTAGTCGAATTGAAGAGCGTGGTTTACTTCGGCACCGTAATACAGGCAGTTGGGCGCAAAACTTGCAGGTCCGTGCAAAATATGATAAAGATGCACGAAAAGATTTAGCCGAACAAATTGCCATCAGTCGTGAATTGACGGCCAAGAAAAATGTTGAAGAATCAGATGATGATGATGATAATGAATTGGCTAATGATATTGCGGGCGATGATGATCCATTCAATCCATGGTTGAAAGTAGGCAAATCAAATGGCAATGACAATGGTGAAGTTGACGAATTTGTAAGTGGCTATCGAAAATATTGGCAAGAACGCAACGCAAAAGAGAAAGAATTAGATGATTATAAAGCATTAGAACCAGTAGAACGAGATGAAAATGAAAATGACAGTGCCGATAAATCGGAAAATTCAGAAGAGAATTCCGATTGGTTAATAAGTCCAATTTCAACGAAAAATTTAAAAAGTTCGAAGATTAGAAAAACAACAACATTAAAAGGTAAAAAATCGAAAGTGAATCGCGGTTGGTTTGAAGAAGATATTTCCAATATGCCAGAAACTATATCAAAGAAGAAGACGAAGAAACTAGGCAAATTAAGTAAACGTGAAAAATCTGTAAAATGTGGAACGAAAACAGAACCAATAGCTGATAATATAGACGATTTATTCGATGATGCAGAGGATGTGATGAGAGAAAAGGGAAAAAAGAAATATGAAAAATTAAAATTTGAATTAGAATCGAAACGAAATAAGAAGAAATCAGCTGCATCGAGCGATGACGATGATGCAGAGAATGAGAGTGAACGAATCGATTTGAGTTTTAAAAAGCAAAATCAACGGGCAAACGAAGACGAAGAGTTGAACGGCGACGAAAACGGTGGTGGTGGCGACGATTTATTATCGAAACGTATCACGAATGCACTCAATTCAATTAAGTCAAATGCAAATGGAAATTATGAAACAGAGAACATAAATCCAAATGATATCGCCAAAGTGAAAACACAGCATTTATCCACCGCATTGCCGGATACGATATACACTGTCGACGATGATGGTTTCAATGAATATGACGATGACTATCATTTTGACGAAGAGAAAAAGATGACCATTGCCGAGGCATTCGAGGATGATGACATCGTTGCGGAATTTAAACGCGAAAAAGATGAAGAGGCGAAAAAGAATGAGCCACAAGAAATCGATTTGTCAGTGCCCGGATGGGGATCATGGGGTGGCAGTGGCATTGACCCATCCAAAAAGAAAACAAAGCGAAAAATGATTTTACGTAAGTTTCGTTTTTTTAGTATTGATTTTTCCCATCTTTTTTTCACTGAAAAAAAATATAATTCGTTTTTTATTTGATTTAATTATGATAGGTTTTCCAGCGCCAGAAAAACGCCGTGTTGACAATCAAGGCAATGTAGTCATCATTGAAAATCGTGATGAAAAATTGCAAAAGCATTTGGTATCCACTTTACCATTCCCATTCACAAGTGTCGATGACTACGAGAAATCGATTCGTGTTCCAATCGGCAAAGACTTTATACCAGCCACCGCAAGCAAAGTGCTCACCAAACCGGCGGTCACCACAAAGGCTGGCACAATCATCGAACCAATGAACGAAAATATGCTGGTAAACAAACAGAAAAAACGACCTACAAAAACCGATCGACGAATCGCTAAAATTGTATCCTAGTTGCATTCGGAATGCATCTAAACATGTTTTTTAAAAATCACACAATAAACAAATATATTTTCGAATTGATTTTGTTTGATTTTTTCTTGTTCTTTTTTTTTTTGCTGAATTGATGGTGTTTGAAATGGTATTTTGATGTATTTTATTTTGCACCAATACCAAACATCCATATCGAAAAATTGCAACTCCACGAATAGACTAAAAAAAATGTTATGAAAAAATCGTGAAAAAATGTTGTTGTTTTTTGTCAAGCAAATGATAATGTCTGAGGGGATGAAAGAATGCTACAAATTTAATGGAAGGGGAAACATTCACGCTTTAAAACCCCCTCAAACCATGTGATTTCCATAAGCACCATCGTGCAATATGAGTACGTTAGTTTTGTTACCAGTTATTGTTGAACGCATGGTATGCGCATGACCGCAATTATAACACAGATGAGCTTTGTCATTGTTATCGGTGTGAAAGAAAGAGCTAAAAGCGGTGGCTTTGTGTGTAAGCGACATTGTCCAGGACTATTTATTGCATAAACGTCACCCATTTTCAGTAGTATCTCTAATGCTTTCTACGTATTGATCAATACTCATTTCCCAAATGTCTCGAATGCTAAACCGTAAGCTATGTTCACCACACTCACAACCAATCCTAAACTAATACAATCACACAAACATATACATACACACCAATCGCATTTTGAACACTAGGAATATTTATTTGACTTACTTTACGTGAAAAAAAAGCTACAACAAAATCGATTTGTCTCTACTTCAAACGGGGTACGAAATTTTCTGTGGTAAGTTTGAACATTTAATTCTTTGGAAAACTAAATAATTATTGTTTTCAATTAAATTTTGATCAAAAATAAATTCAACGAAAGTGAAACATTTGAGAATTATCTAAATTGAGTGAAATCACAATAATTTAATGAGAATTTGATTATGATAAAAAAAAAATGTCGTAACAAATGAAGCGAATGCATATCGAATAGTAGGAAAATCAATTCAGTTATCTAACGATGAATAGCCATCAAGATGTGATAAGTCTGATGGTATTGTAAACGAACCGAAAGAAATATCTACGAAAATGAAAAATAAAGAAAACCACAGACAAAATTAGAATATTTAAAAAAAATATGTCGAGATTTTGTGAATCTTAACAATGAGACATTTACATAAATCAAGATATTCACATTGAAATGCAAACATTCTCGTTATTTCATAGTTTCTATATAAACAAATCGTAAAATATTACTTGCGCTATTTTGAAACAGTTATGTTTAACAGTGTAATTTCAAATCAATCCTCAATTTTCTATGCGATTACCATTTATACCTGCCTTATGCATTGATTTTGTGACATTAAATAATAATAACATCCGGAGCGAACCATTATCAAAATTATAATTAGAAACAACGTGAGCTGAATGAACGGAGTGTAATGAATGTAATAGACCAAGCGTTTTCTTTGTTCAGCTTTCGATTTTTGGTAGCTTTGAAATTGTCGCAAAAAATGTGAGCGAACCCTTCTACGAAGAGGGCTACTTGACGTTGATATCAAAGTAAAATGTTGTAACTGAATGGGTCAAGTGGATATTTATGGTTTTTTTTATTGTGTTGTTTGCAGGTGCAGTTGTAACGGTGAAAAAAAAATTCAGTGAGTCAAAAATCAAAAGCAATAAGCTTACGGGGATAGTTTGAAACGACAGAGAAAAGTAAAGAAAGAGACACAAACAGATATATCAAAGAGAGAGAGAGAGAGAGAGAGAGATTTTGTCGTGCAATCTTTTTTTGGCATTTAAGTTTTTTTACGGAGAGAGAGTGTTTATGCAAAAATGCAGCAATTTGAAAATAACGAATACGATGGGTACGAATACGATCCAAAGCAAAGAGCGCCTCCACAGAAGTTTCAAGTTCGGCCTCGTGTTGATCCCGAAGCTGAGGGTGAAGTCGATCCAGAATTGTAAGTAATTTTTTACAAAATGTGCAAATATGAAAATATCGTCGATAGTATAGAATCGAATAAATCAATTTGTTGGCATTCGTTTTTTCTGTTGTGCCGTGTATTATGAACTGTTAGGTACCCGCAAGCAAAGGAGTCAACTCATAAGATTCGTGGACGATCTGATATTATTGAAATGATTTTCGGTACCGTTGATCAAGAGCTGCTATTTGTGAAAACATTTTATTTCTTCTTTTATTCGGCATTCGGTTCTCTGTTTCCATTGATGGGAGTTTACTTCAAGCAAATGGGTATGAATCCGTTGCAAGGTGGTTTCTTGATTGGATGTCGTCCGTTTGTTGAATTTTTATCGGCGCCATTCTGGGGCTCATATGCGGATCGGTAAGTAATTCATTTGCGCGCATCTCTTCCACAACTAATATCAAATTTCATTTGAATAAATCGCTATTGATTTTCAAAAGAAAGAAAAAATACAACAAATTGGTAAACACACTAATGGTGATGTGATTTAATAGTGAATGAAATTGATATGTTAATCTATTTGAAATGTGATATATCTATTTGTGTCTATTACAATGAAAAAAAAAATGTCAGCTGTAAAAAGGGAAAAATGCTGTTGCTTGCCTCGTTGACATCTTGGATTCTATTTACACTACCCATTGGATTTATTCAACCCCCGGCTACGAGTTGTGTTAAAATATACAATTCCACAGAGTTTAGATTATCTGATCCACAAGTGCCATCACCACGTATTCATAAGCGTTCAACAGAAGAACAGTCATCAGACTCATTGAGCGGATTAAATGATGCTTTGACTGCAATTACCAACAATATCAACAACAACCAAAATGATACACTAAAACGAACACGAAGAGCTGCGCCTTGGGCTGGTGCTGGCATTTCTCCCATCTCCGTTAACTATGCTACCAATTACAATCCGAAAAAGAACAAAAACTGGGTGTCACCACTGTTCTCTTCCATTGTATACACATACGATGACATCCAAAAGGCTTTCTTCTTGCTATTTTTATTGATTGTAATCGGTGAATTCTTCAGTGCACCGGCAATTACATTGGCTGATTCGGCTGTTATTACATTGCTTGGCGAAAATGTCGATAAATACGGTCATCAACGTATGTTTGGCTCGTTGGGCTGGGGTTTGGCGATGTTCTTTGTTGGCATTGCACTCGATCATTCAACAGCATTTCCAAATCATCCATGCGATCCGGAAAAACAAGAGAAAAATTATGCCATTTGTTTTGCCACATTTTCCGTTTTAATGGGAGCTGCACTCTTAACAGCAACACAAATTACATTCAAATATGATGAATCGGGCGATTTGGAAGCGGCTGAAAAGGGACCCGAACAGAAAACATCGTACGAAGATGATGAAATGCAAAATCAACTGGCTGAACAATTGCAATTGCCATCATTGGCAGCTGGACCACGTGGGGGTGGTGTACAAGTGCATCAGGAACCGCCTGCACTCGGTGCTGAAACGAAAATTTTTGCCCAAACCACACGTGAAATTCCCGAATGGATTACAGTCCTTAGCCATTTTAAAGACTTGAAACGTGCCTCTATTTTATTTATTGCTTTTTTCATGGGTTTCGGTATTGGACTTATATTCACATTTCTATTTTGGCATCTACAAGATTATGGCGGTTCACCGACATTGTTCGGCGTTGCGTCTGTTATCAATCACATATCGGAGATTTTTGCCTACTTCTTTAGTTTTCGATTGATCACACAAATCGGACATGTTAAAGTGAGTGTTTTTCCCCTTTTTTTCTCAATTCTAATGCAATTGGATTGATTGTGACGATTCGTTCGATACAGGTATTATGTCTTGGACTGATTGGAAATATTTTACGATTTTTGTACATCTCCTATTTGACAAATCCATGGTATGTTTTGCCATTCGAATTTATGCAAGGAATTACTCATGCTGCTGTTTGGGCTGCTTGTTGTTCATACATTTCACATAATACACCACAACATTTACGTTCATCGGCTCAAGGTGTATTGCAAGGACTTCATCATGGTAAACGACCGTTTTTTTTTTTCAATTCAAATCATTGGCTTTAATCGATTTACTCTTTGGTTCTAGGGCTGGGTCGTGGATGTGGCGCTGTAATTGGAGGTTTCTTCGTTCGTTATATTGGTACAACGGCCACCTTCCGCGGCTATGGTAAGTATTGATACAATTTTATTTATTTCAATCGACGAAAGTGAATTTCTCCAAATTTGTTGCATTTCAGGCATTTTCTGCATATTCGTGTTGTGTGCTTTCATATTCATTAATTTCTATCATAAGGAACATGGTTTCATTACCGATATTCCACAAACTGAAGATCCACACAAGGTAACATTTACAGTTTTCTTTTCAATTTTGCACTGACTCATATAAAATGAACGATTTTCCAAACAAAATGAAATATTGGCTTTACTTTGACATTTGCATTGCGGTCTATTCGTTCGGAATTTAACTATTTACGCTTAATTTTAAAATGCATTGCTCATTAATGCTCACTTTTGACTCGGACTAAATGCGAATACATTGAACATTTTAGGTGGCCGAAGAAACTTCTCACTTGGCACCGCACGGTGTACCATCAAATCCAATACCGCGAGCACTATCAAGTTCACGTTTGAATGATTTGCAAAATCAAAACGGTTCGGAAACATATGGCACATATCAAACAAGTGGCGGTAACCTCGATATTCCCGGCACGAGAAATCCATTCCAAAAGTAAAATCAGCAACAGCAAATAAGAGCAGTGGTTATTTCCTAAAAACACATATTAAAGAAAATTTTGGTTCCATTACACCGAACAAAGGGTTCCTTCAGACACTTTTAGCTATTCAAATGATAAACATCAAACCAACATCAAGAACAAAAAAAAAAGATTATATAAAATCAAACACTGAAACATATGCAAACTACAAAAAAAAAATCAATGAACATAATCATTATTTAATATTCGAGCCAGATAAACCATTTTTAAAATTTTAAATCAACATACACACATACAAAACTAAGAAGATGTAAAATTACATTGTATATCAATAAGCATATGAAGACAAATAGAAACAAGCAAATTAACAATGACATATTTTCCGATAGAATGAAAATGAAGAGAAGAGAAATGAAAAGAGACAAAGCAAGAAATGTGCATCTAGTAAAAATCACTTAGTTAACTGGCACAATTACAATTTAAGCCTAGGATTAAATAGTGGAAAACGTGTGTGAAATGAATTCAAGCAAAAACAAAAACCTCCTCACAATAAGACCTAATTTAAGTGGCAAAGTAGTATGGAACAAATCACTGTAAATGGTGTCAATAATTTGTTCCAAAAAAAGAGATTTATTCTGCCATAGCAGGCTTATCGCCGCACGAACAGAAAAGAAATACGTATTATCAATATCTAAATTTTATTATTTTCAATGTTATTTTCGAAATAACGAATTTTCGAATAAAACAAAAAAACATGTGGATGACAAATCAATCTGCTGCGACACACTTTACAACCACGAAGTTCAATGTAATTGGAGCAACAAACGGGCATAATAGGCCGTATTTATTTTGACTCATTCAAACGTCATTTGAACGATGTTCCATTGATTTTTTGTGGTCGACCATTTTTGGCAGAATATAAATGTGATTTTTTGCATTGAAATGTGCAGATTAAACAGATGATAAGCGTTCATTTTTATATGATTTCATTCAAGATAGTTCAGTTGTGAATAAGTGTGTGTCCATGACTGAAAAAAGATGATTTTTCTATCTTTGCATTAGTCGCATGTACATTTTCATATGTGTACCGAATATGCCATGATTAAAAACAAACAAACTGGGCGGCTCCATTTTCTATAGATATGGAAAAGCATACCTTATGTATGGACATAAAGGACACATTCATTGGTTCTTCCAACGCAAATTATAAGCAAATGAAAAAAAATGTTCAAATCATTTCTCATAAATGACAATTGTTTTTCTTCTCTCATTTCATCTCAGAGCTAAGTGTTAATTTAAAAATGAATGTGGAAAACTAAAAAAAAAAGAAAATGGAATGTAGAAATAGGAAAAAAGACAAGCTATAATGAAAAATTTAACCTAGTACCTTTTCAAAGATGAACAATGAATCGAATCTGAACTATTGTTTAGACGACGAATGATTATGATACACACATACATATACACACACGCATTCAAAGATATTTACAGAACATTTATCAAGTGAACTAAAAAAAAGATGCAAAAAGAATGGCAGAAAGAAATCATGAATTTAAATGTATATTATATATGAATATCAAGCATATAAAGTAGCTATTTACCTAGAATATTAAGAACTAATTGAAAACACACATTCAAACAAAAAAAGATAAATCTTGTTGCTATTTACGATGCATTCAATGGATCATACTATTGAATTCACAATTCAATCATCTAGATAATTAACAAAATAAAATTGAAGAAAACTGAAGGAAGAGTAGAACGAAATGTGCGAGGAGGTTAAAGCTCAAATCACTATCATATCGAAAACGATGACAGAACTAAGTCATGTTTTAATTGCACCAAAAATGGTATGTTCGCTATGAATAATATTGATATGAACACTTAGTATTGCCAAGGTATTTTGATAGAACAGTCATTGAGATTATGTAGTTTGATATTTGGTCTGACATGAAAACTATATTTTTTTTTGCCCTTTTTCTTCTTTAAAACATTTGCAATAAATGATAGAATAGAGCATTTTTTGCACCATTTTTGATCAATCTCAAAACGAAATTTTGTTGTCATTAATATTTTTTTATTAAATTGTAAAATTTTGCAATAATTTTAAACTTTTTGAAGCAATTTACCCGATCTATTAAAACATTCAATGTTTTTGTATGGAATTTTTTTTGCAAATAGATAACTTCGATATCGAAATCATATCATTTGAGCATTGATCGTGTGTATAATGTAATTCGTGAAAATGTTGTTGGTCCGGAGATGCGAAAGAAAAAGGTGGTTTTCATTCGGTCTGAATTTCATTTCATTGATATCGATATTTTTTGATATTTTCATTTCAAACAAGCTTATGGTTAAAAAAAAGAATTGTTTACCTTGTATGGACATCACAATCTATGAAAGTATAAACGAACTTAATCGATGATATTGGCAATTATTGCCAAATATTGCACGCAACAGGTGAACCAATCATAGAATGTGTTTGTTCGTGATTTTGCTAATTTAAAAACCAAATACTCAACATCAAACATTTATATTCTAAGTAAAACATATGAAGAAAACATTTGCAACAAAATAAAATGATTTTTGGTATTTTTTATGATCTTCAAAAGTCTAATATGATTCAAAGAATACCAAATAGAGTATCGAACAGAATACAAAACCAATTGAAATGATACCACCCGAAGAACGGGCACCGAACAAACGTCTAATGTGCTCTGTTTTTTCATTGCTTGATATCATCTCAAGTGGATCCGTATTTGCGTTCGATACTCGCAAAAAATATATATATTTAAATTATGGATTATATATAAATATTATATATATATATATACATATAAAATTATGAAAATATATTTATTGATTTAAGAGTTATTTAGAATTATATTGAAATATCACGATCATATCATTTAAAAAAAAACGAATACCAAATAGATTTAACTAAACATAAACAAAACTTGAATATGATGACGATGATGATTATGATGATGAAAAAGAAACAACATTTTCACAATTAAATTGAGTTGCGTTGAAAGATTTGACGGTGAAAATCCATTATGATAAAAACCGAGTGTGTGAATAAATAGTAAATATGGTGATCGATGTCCATATATTGACAAAATGAGTCAGGCCATGTTTTTATTTTACGCAAACAACATTTTTAATTCAATGATAAATAACATATGAACATCGAACTATCTTATGGTATTTTACATGCAAATGTTTTTATTCCATGACTTTATTTCGACACTACTGAGTCCAAGCATATTATATTGATCGAGATTTGTATTGTGAACAGTTCAAACTGGAATAACTTACAGTGGTTTTTGTGTCCATTTTTTATTCATAAATAACGGGTATCGAAGCAACGGGTATTTTTGAATTGATGTGAAAATGACACTTCTTAAAGAAATACATTTGATAAGGTGATAAGAAAATTCCCTTAAAAATCAATTTGAAAATATATATTGCATTCGCTAGCCGAGATGTAGGAATATAGCCAGTTTGTCATGCGTGAAAATCCAGAAATAAAACGACTCAAAAAAACAATTGATCTCGAAGTTGATGACGCCAAGTTATTAAGTACAACAGTTAGTTCAGAGAATATTTGCTCTACAAATCTTTTGAAATGACTCCGTTCATATACAAAAAGTAAAAAAAAAGAAAATTGTTTGATTCTTGTTACAATGGCTTCATCATCATTCCCAGCCATTTCCCTGACGTTCAATAAAGTGACATTTATTCTTTTTTTCAATATCATGTATCTATTTCAAATATTCTTTTCTTTCTATAAACTCCATTTCAATCTTTCGATCCAATTCTATAATTGAAGAAAACAAATCCTAACATCTAAATTGATTATGTTGCTATTTCCACAATTCAGATGTTTATCTAACGAATCGATCTGACTGATCAAAGGATTGAAGGTGATAAAGTGGTATACGTCAATTTTGTGACACTCATTTTTGTTTCGCAAAATTTAAATGTACGAAAGTAGCCAGTATCTGACATTTTCAGTCAGATTCATTCGCTAGTCGAACTCTTTATCATTACACAACTAAGTCATCACATACATTCACCAATCTTGGCAATGTAAGAAAGAAATATTATATGGAAAGTTGTGTCTTGAGCTAAAAGGCTTTTTTTTATTATACTCTAAACCAAACCAAATTGAAAATTTGCGCTGTATAATTTAGTTGATTTACATAAAAAAAAAGAACTGCAGCAGTTACGCAGAACAAAAAATACAAATTCTTTAAAAAAAACTATCAATGTTGTTTTAAATAAACAAATGTAAATTCATTGAAAATTTGCTAGAGATTTAAATTGATGCAATTTATTTGTGAATGCTAAACGAAAAAAGGTCCGGCCATGGAAAGAAATTCGAATAAAAAAAAACACTAAATTCCAGGCTGAATGGATGGCTCAATGAATCAACGTAATATCAAACAAAAGCCTAACAAGTTGGTGGCACTTCCACAACTAGTATACACAACATGTCTTTGATGTGATCACTTATTACACTTAAATAATACTGTAGACAAAACAAAAACAAATCATAAGAATTTTCCAAAATTCGCCGAACAGTTTTTTTGAATCACATTTTTAACCAAATTATTCAGCGTATAACCATTGCAGCACTGAACGAACAAATGACCCAAACATTTTTCGAATGAAAGAAAAAAATGTGAAAGAATATGTTAATAAATCATTAATCAACTGTTAATTCATTTTGTATCACTGTTAATAATATAAAATCATTTTTTAGAGTTCAGATGTGACAAACCAACAACAACAACAACAATAATATGTTTATCCAGAGACGATTTTTATTTTGGCCAAAAAAAAGAACGAAAAAAAAAGAAATGTTTTTCTTTGCAGAGCAAATAATTCTGAATACTATTGTAAATGCAAATAAAAATCATACAAAATCATATTCAAGATTTTCCACCAACCCCCATTTATTCAAATTATGCGAATAAATGGAAAGGAAATGTTATCTCTTGAATTAGAACATTTTTTTTTTGTTTATGTCAAGTGGTTTTATTTGCTGCGCTTTTTCGACTATACATGTAGAAATGGATAAAAACAACTTCATTTTAAAACTTGGTTATAAGTATAGTTCTTAATTATTTTTTTCTCCGATCTAAAAATCTATATGTCTGTTGTACAATGTTTCGAAATAAAATAATGTGGTCGGTGTTTTCTTTTCATTTTAC